GAGTCAAAGGCTGAAACACCTGGGACTGTACTCACAGGAGAGGAGAAGAGAAAGGTATATCATACTGTACACTTGGAAGATGATAACCGGACTCGCTCCCAACTTTGAGAGTAAGCTAGACCTCCAGAATATTGACATATTACAACGAAAGGAGAGGGAGACTGTGCAGGATTCCCCCCATTTAAAAACCGAGCCGCGGCCGGTGTACAGACTCTTCGTGGGGGTTCACTGTCCGGGGCGGGATCGAGGCTGTTTAATGCCTTGCCAAAAGCGCTGAGAGGAGTCGAGTTCACCCTTGCAACATTCAAGAGACGACTGGACAATTGGTTGAGAAATATCTCGGATTATCCAGTAATGGGAAACTACCATCAGCAAGTGACAAGCAACAGCATCTTGCATCAGCTGGCCCAAAGGAGGGCAAATATACGGAACACGTCCAACGTTACATCCGGGACCCGAGTGCGGGGTGACCTGCCTAGCGACGACTCGCAGACGGAGGACGACGAAGGCGGCGCATCAGCGTGACCGGGGACTAGGAAGTCCCAAACTCATCATAAGGTCATAAGGTCAGTAAAACCTTGAAAAGTTTCACTCAGAGAAATGAGTGGGATTTTATCCGAATAGCGATGCACTATTTCCCTTGTACAGGTCATCTTCACCTAGTTTGACATGACAATAGGCGTATCAGTGCTACGTGCACGAAGTGTGTCACTTTTTCGACAGTAAATGATCAGCGATCACACAAATGTCACAAGAATGTCATGCTTCGTCAGAAGAAATTTTTATGACATCATTGTGATCGCTGTAACTATCGTGATCTCTGCGGCGCAAGCAAGAAATGATGCATAGTGAAGAGCACCGCACAGTGTACTGTAGAGCACCGCGCATCTTGAAGTACGGCTGAAATGATGCACAGTGTGGAGCACCACGAATCTCGAAGCACGACAGGAATGATTCGCAGTGTAGAGCACCGCGAATCTCGAAGCACCACCGACAGCCACCAACTGCCGCCTGCCTCCCTCTCCAGGCTAACGGATGCGTACTGCAGACATTAATGTCGCCCCGACAGCTGCATGAGGCGGTGGGATTTATGGCGTTCCGACGGTCCGGAACGTAGGTAAGCGTGAACACCGTAATCATCCATGGTTGAACTATATAAGGTTGACCCACGAGAATTTCTGCCTTTCAGTTCAGGTTTCTTGTTTAGTCACTGAGATCGAGAAACGTAATCAATCCAGTCATTGCCATGACGGATTAGTTGAAAGGTTTGATCGCATATCAGTGATTGGTTAATGCCCGTGACGTCACATGAGATCAGTGACGTCAAGGCGAACAACGAACGATATCCGCAAAAATGAGCTTTTCATGGGTCAACCTTATAATAGTTCAACAATGGTAATCATCCGACGGTTCCCTGGCACCTCATCATACGAAAGATTAATTTTCATCATTGATGCATTTAATCATTGGGGCATTTTATTCTTCACCAATTTAACCTAACATAACCTAACCTACCTTGTCGTGGCGCACACGCCGCTGCGGTTAACACGTGGCAACCACTACATAAGAGCCATTATAGTGATAGTAAGTTTTTATCTCTTGAAAGGATAGAAACAAGGCAAGTAACCTCCGACCTTGCACATGAGATGGTATATATATTAGAGTCTCTCCTGTCGCCAAGTCTCTACTCGACTTTGTCATATCCTAACGAAACTTATTTCTCACCAGACTCATTTGCTTAGTTCGTAAGTATGACAATTAATTAAGAAAAAATATAACTCAGTACTCACCGCAGTGAGTGACAGAGAGCGCATTTTCTCGTCGACGAAAACTTGAGATCACGGACAGACGGACGGACAGACAGACAGACGGACATGGCGAGCACAATAGTGCATTTTTTCCATAAATGAGAAAATGAGCTAAAAATAGTATAAAACAAATTAAGAAAATTAAAGTTGGGCTAAAAAAAATTCAGAGAAGCAAAGAAAAATACGGAGTCAAATAAACAAATGATTATTATGAGGTATGGCGATCATAACAATCTGCCTGTTCCTATGTTTGCAGAATGCACATCACGCAACAATGAAATTTTATTGTGAGTTGGTATAATGAAAACATTTCCCATTGATAAATTGCTATAATAATGAAATGTCCCAATGATAATTTGCTGCAGTGATGAAATGTCCCATTGATAAATTGATTTAGTGATGAAATGTCCCAATAATAAATAAATGCTGTAATAGGAGGTGTAGTCTGGAGCCAATGTCATTCGGTAGATAGAACGTTTATATAGACCCACGACCGTACACAACCTTAGAATTCACTTCTCGTTTCGTTACGTTGTTATTCGAAATTTACCCCAGTTCCTCTGATGATTCGAAACTATAAATGTTTCCTAAATTGCCGTGGAAGTGATAAGATAATTCGAGACTCTGTATCGGATTTTGTTGGTGAGTTCCTGCACACAAAGACAAGACAATTTTGTAATACGAAATAAAAAATTTAACGTGGTATCCAAACAATTTGTGCAAGCAGATACAAGAGACATCAGACTAAATGAGCTCGCCGACTCATCTGAGGAAATAGGATTAATTTCGAATAACAACGTAGCGAAACGTTAGCAAAGTCTACGGTTGTTGTGGTTTCCCGGTCTCATTTTTACAAGAGACCCCCCAAGTCTACGGTAGCGTACGGTCGTGGGTCTATAAACGTTCTGTCTGCTGATTGATATTGACTCCAGACAAAACCTAATATTACAGCATTAAGGGATGGAATCATTTGTGCGTGAGAAGCCTCAACAGAAGGTATTTGTTGCCATTTACATTTAAATGGAAACTAATGCATGTGCTTTCACGATGCAATGAAGGTTCCAAGTATGTTGCATACGATGAATTTGTTATTTTTATAAGGAATGACCTCCTTCTTTAAGATAAATATGGCACCAGAAACTGCATGGAGTGACTTTACGTAGCTTGTGAGTTAGTGCGAGACAGAGCTAGCGTGCAACGTTATGTGTTCCAAGCTCCGGCTAATTATTCATGGTTTAACAGTGCAAATATCAAGATAATTTGAATGATGAATAATTTTTGCCATAAATTTCTATTTTTATTAGGAAACCTGGTATTCGGATAAAAAACAGAAGTATTGTTTACCTAAAAGAAGTCGTATAGAAGCGCCAGTAAACCGACATGGGCGAGAGAAATTCAACGATTTATGAATATCTATGATATGAGTTCAACTGCAGAAAATACGGAAAAGAAAAAACTCTAGAGTCTGTACAGTTTTATTAAAATACTTCTTTGTATATTTAATTGCTCTATGATTCAGCTCGAACATTGCCCCATGGTCAGTAACAACAGCAGACTATACAATACCAACACAATAATTCTAAGCTGCTAGTACAACCAAGTCTTCCAAGAATTATTGTGAACTTCCAATTATATTGTATTGTCAAGCTAGTACAACTCGAGTCTTCCAGTTGATAATACAAGAACATCCTGGAGTGATAATAAAGAAAGACAATATTTATTTGATCTGCGATAAGTGGATGGCGGGCAGTAGATTTTCTCACGGTTGTAATGTCGTTACGGACGTTGATACGTCGTTCTTTCGCCCCGTTGTGTAAGCGTTCGCACGACACACAGCAAATAATAAGGACAATAACACTAGACTCGTGGCATTAATAATAGCTTCTTAAAACTAACATTGCATCAGCGGACGGAATGCGTTTCGTTTGGCAACTTTCATCTGAAAAACTTGAGACGAATTCTACTCTTACAACGAAGACCAACTACTAAAAGTATACGCAGAGCTAAGAAACAACCTTGTTTCATCTGACACAGTATTATAAAAAAATCGCTGAAGTACACCGTACACGTAGCGATCCAAATACACGTAGTGGTCCAAGTACGCGTAGCGGTTCAAGTACACGTAGCGGTCCAAGTACACGTAGCGGTCCAAGTACGCGTAGCGGTTCAAGTACACGTAGCGATCCAGTACACATAGCGGCCAATTTTTAGAAATAACAATTTTTTTAGAAATAACATGTCGATGTTCTGCGACGTTCATCTATTGCCTTCTGCAGGGCCACAATTTTGGCAAAATTTGCTCTTTTTATTTTGTGATTTAGATTCAAATCACACTTGTAGCACTTCAAGTCGAATGATAATATAAGTATAATATTAAAATAATAACGACGGAGCAAAAATAATATCGGTGAAAATGAATTTACATTTTAACATACATTCAAGTGAAGCAAACTTCATATAAAGTTCGAAGAAATGAAGTTTAACTTCAAAATTTTTTTTATATATTTTCACAGTCATAAACTCAATTCAAATTAATATTGTAAATGCCTAATTCATAAAACACTTTGAAATGGCATGTGTGGGGATAGTTTTTAAAGATTGTTTAAAAAATTCTATGTGCCACATTCATATAAAGGTATACACATAAAATACATGTTAAAAATACAGAAAAAGCGTCAAATTGAAGAGAAAAAAAAAGAAAAAATTTTCTTCAGGAGCAAGATTTGTTCCAAAGTTCAATAAAAATTATATTCAGTGCCATATCGTAAATAAAATCAATTCTCATTAATGAAGAAACAATGTACTCTTTCGAAACTCAAATTGGCCTGCATCGTAGCAGCGTGAGTCCAGTTCACGAATTGCAGTTAAGAATTAATGCTGTTTCTATTAAATTAAGCATTAATAACAAATTATCTTAAGGTAAAATGTTTGCACAGAAGAACGTGTAGAAACACATACAAGCACAGCGCTGGTGACGCTGGGCTGTCATACACGTTAAAGGCTCCCTTATATTGTTTACATAAAATTACTTACAACACTTTGAGGCTCAAAAAAATTCTATAATTACGAGGAAAAAAGATAATAAAAAGATCAAAATATTATGCCATAATGAGATAACCTCGGCTTCAAAATTGCGAGTCCCGAAACTGCCTTGCGATATCTAAACGTCGGCGTCCATAAAATAATTTAATAATAAAACTATGAGTCTAACACGAAGCTTAATTCCATTACACTTACTCACACTTACATTTTATCATTTAACTTTTGCGATAAACTAACTTGCTGCATAAGCAAAATTAGCGAAAAAATAGGCAACGTGCCATCATCAATATTCTCTATCTATTTCTACCTCCACTTGCTCCCATGAAACCAAGCTGCATCAATGAATCATTAAGCTTAAACCTATTAATCCCTTCAGGAAGTATCAACCCTTATGATGCAACGGCAACCTATTCCTTCCAACATTTTGAACCGCAGGAGGAACGGCAAATAATAATATGTAATTATAGTGGCATTTCCAGGTGCCTCCGCCGAATTTTAAGGCCGTCAAAACATGAAATTCGTTAAATTTTGCCTGCCATTGAAAGATTTGAGCAATAGAAGCTGCAGCAACAAAAGCCTCCATGAGACCGGGGAGCTATATTGATAATAATGCTATCATAATAATCTAACGCGGTCGCATTGACCGTAAAATGGATGTGAAATGCACGGACACTGACAAATAGCACATTTCCAATTGGTACAAGCACGAGCTGGAGACCACAGATTTTGTACACAGCTGGACGATGCACTAAGATCTTTTGTGTTGCGTACCAATGAGCGGTAGGTTTGCGCTTGCGTTGTGCTGCTCTCCCAAGCAACAGCACTTGCCACTCTACAGTCCAGGGCCTATACTTCCAAAATAAGTTAAGAGATCGTAAGTTCATCAGTCAATCATTGACGGCCTTTCAAGCCAAATCCACCAATTGTAGACAAGAAAATAGAGCGTAAGTACTAACGTTCACTTAGCGAATTTTGAAAGTATGACCCCAGAGTACTACATTAGCACCGCACCAACAGCAGCACAAGACCAGCTCTGCCTCAGCACTATAGCAGCAGCACTATTGCAGCAGCACTAAGCAGCATAGCAGCAGCACTATAGCAGCATAGCAGCAGCACTATAGCAGGATAGCAGCAGCACTAAGCAGCAGCAACACTGCACTGTAGCCCACAGACCCTGCTCCAGCCTGGACATTGAAGACGATCACTTGTGTCTTGTCAGCCTTCCACGGGTCAGCGCCGTCGTCGAAACGCATGGGGCAGCGATCATCTGCACCACGGTCTTGTTATTAGTGTTAGCAACAATAATGAGTAAATCATTACCTATTAGCGCTAAGTAGTAAATCAATCATCACATATTAGTGTTAGCAATACAATATGTCACTAAAGTCAGCAACAGTAATGAGTAAATCATTAAATATTATTGTTAAGTAATAAGTAAATCATCACCTATTAATGTTAAGTAATAAGTCAATCATCACATATTAGTGTTAGCAATACAATATGTCAGGAAGAGTAATGAGTCAATCATCACCTATTAGTGTTCAAACAAACTACGTTAATTATAGACTGAGAAATCATTTGGTTTAACAGTAGCTCTGCTACTATGACGATTATTCTTGATTGAATAAGACACGCCTTCTTAGCGGCTGTGAGACTTATTACAAGGGCCATTTCTGATTATTCTTTCTAAAGTAAATCATCACCCTTGAGTCTTAAATAATGAGTCAATCATCACATATTATTAGTGTTATCAATACAAACCATTGATGTGTCTGCACGAAGCAAGACTCGGCAGAACAAAACAAGCACAAACACAGCAAAGGTCTTAGCAGCACCCACACTCAAGAAGCCCAAGTCTCATCAAAACCAGCCCCAGAACAAACCCCAAGTCTCATCAAAACCAGCCCCAGAACAAGCCCCAAGTCTTATCAAAACCAGCACCAGAACAAACCCCAAGTCTCGTCAAAACCAGTACCAGAACAAGCCCCAAGTCTCGTCAATACCAGCACCAGAACAAGCTTCAAGTCTCATCAAAACCAGCACCAGAACAAGCTCCAAGTCTCATCAAAACCAGCACCAGAACAAGCTCCAAGTCTCATCAAAACCAGCACCAGAACAAGCTCCAAGTCTCATCAAAACCAGCACCAGAACAAGCTCCAAGTCTCATCAAAACCAGCACCAGAACAAGCTCCAAGTCTCATCAAAACCAGCACCAGAACAAGACACATGACCCAGCAGTATCCATGTCCAATAGAGACACATTTCCCAGCAGCAACCCCCGCGCAAGCAAGGCTCACGCCCTATTTCCCCCAACAAAGCATCATGACTCCTGCAACTGCAGGACTTTAACAGCACCACGAGTCGTGGTGCATCTGCCTCATGATGCACCAAGTCCTTATGGTGCATCATGACGAAGCATTTAACAGCACCACCACGACAGTCGTAGAGCATATCCCACTGTGGTAATAAGATTCGTCAAAGCAGTACGATACCGAAAATATTTTTATGACATCCCGGGGCCCTAAACACAGACTTTGCTGCTCCAATCTCGGCGTTTTTTGTCACTAACAAAACTTCGCAAGCGCCACTCATCATGGGTCAAATTGACCCACACGGCCACTCATCACGGGTCAACCTGACCCACAAGGCCACTCATCATGGGTCAACCTGACCCACAAGGCCACTCATCATGGGTATACCTGACCCACAAGGCCACTCATCATGGGTCAACCTGACCCACAAGGCCACTCATCATGGGTCAACCTGACCCACAAGGCCACTCATCATGGGTCAACCTGACCCACACGGCCACTCATCATGGGTCAACCTGACCCACACGGCCACTCATCATGGGTCAACCTGACCCACACGGCCACTCATCATGGGTCAACCTGACCCACAAGGCCACTTATGGGTCAATATGACCCACCACAACCCAGGCCCATGACTCACGCTCTCGCTCGTACTCGACGAGTGACAGGGACACGGCGGCGCCCTCCCTGATGCTGCGAGCGTGCACCGTCTGCTGCAGGTTACAGGAGGGGCCTACGGACTGCGACAGCAGGATGCGGTTCAGGTCTGCTCGCTGGTATACCTGGGGGATATTGTATACATGAGGAATGTTGTACATCCTGAGGAATATTGTATGCCTGAGCAATATTGTATACCTGAGCAATATTGTACATCCTGAGCAATATTGTACATCAGCCGCTGTTATACCTGAGAATTGTACATCAGCCGCTGGTATACCTGAGGAATATTGTACATCAGCCGCTGGTATACCTGAGGAATATTGTACATCAGCCGCTGGTATACCTGGGGGATATTGTACATCAGCTGCTGGTATACCAGAGGGATATTGTACATCAGCTGCTGGTATACCTGAGGGATATTGTACATCAGCTGCTGGTATACCTGAGGAATATTGTACATCAGCAGCAAGAAATGATTAAATTTCTTCATATTCCATAAGAAGCTTTAAAAAAATTATACGCATCGTACATTGATAAACATAAAAGTGCAAAGATGTTCGGTATCATAAATGTTTTAATACAAAATATTAATATATGTTAAAGTGTTTTTTGTTACCGTCAACAGATTGCAGATAAATAGCAGAACTAGCATAAAAATTTTAGATTGTTATCCCATTTACGAATGGAATGAAGGTGAAGCTTCTGAGTGAAGAAATTGCATAGAAACCAGAGGTCTCGCGGCTCTCAATACTCCCCTTAAGATAACCGCAGTGCCATCTGTATTACGCGTGTACACTGTACAAGTGTACGTCTGCACTGTACACTGTACAAGTGTACGTCTGCACTGTACACTGTACAAGTGTACGTCTGCACTGTACAAGTGTTGCCCTGGCAATAGGGCGTATCAGTGCTACGTCCGCTCGCGTGTGGGCGAGAAAAATATGTCTCACTATTTAGACAAAATATGACCATTTATTTCTCTGAGTGTATTACACCCGAGGGCGGGGTGACCTGCCTAGCGATGACTCGGAGACGGAGGACGACGAAGGCGGCGCATCAGCGTGACCGGGGACTATACGAAGTCCCAAACTCATCATAAGGTTTATTCCACAAAACGAGACATTCGATCACATACCCGCACTATATATAGATACGTGTATATATATGTATACGTTTTATACAAGTATACATAGGAGTATACACGACACGGTACCTACCCAGCACCGGTACCGAACTCATTATAAGGTCATTAGACACGGTACATACCCAGCACCGGTACCGGGAGACAGGATCGCGCTCATCGAAGGTGATGAGGTAAGACTTGAGGTTCTCCTTCCAGTAGCCGATGCATTTGAGCTTGTAGTCCGGCAGCGCTGCAACACATGGTATGGTTAGGATAATGATCACATCTTTAATCTTAATTGATTAAGATTATACTGATAACGATAATCCTGACATCGATAATCCTCATTTATTAAGATTATCCTGATCATCTGATGTAGTTTTTTTTTATTCCAGCAGCGCTACAAGACAAGACGATCACATCGATAATCTTAATTAATTAAGATTATCCTAATAACGATAATCCTGACCGATAATCCTCATTCATTAAAACAATCCTCAAGTAGTTTTTATTCCAGCAGCAATGCAAGTCATGGTGCAGTTAGGTTGTACTTAAAACAGTTGTATGTGGCGTGTGAGTAGCGATTCAAAATGTACTGAGGTAGCTGTTAAGTAGCCCTCTGACAGTACTTGGAATAGCATAAAGTACTTGGAAGCGTAAATTGTGTATTTTTAAAAATGTGTTATAGCATAATTTATGGTTTCTTATGGTGACATATCGGACAGAGTTTATCGCAAACGCATTTGACACAATTATTTTATTTCGATTGCATCTTGGTAAGCTACTTACGAAAAAATCATGTGTAGTTTTTTACACAACAAATAATATTACTTTTTAACAAGAACCCTTTTTTTAGGCAGTTCATGCTAAAATAGACCACATAACGAGACATTTGATCACATACTCGCACTTATATGTATGTAGATACGTGTTTATATATACCTTCTATATAAGTATACATAGGAGTATATTAGTGTAGTTGGCAGAAGTTCTTCATTCATACAGGTTTGATTGAAGACCAGAGAATACTTTTTATTAACAATTTTCGTATTATTTTTTTAATAAGCCGGACGAAAAACAATAAGAAAATTGTTAATAAAAAGTATGCTCTGGTCTTCAATCAAACCTGCATAGGAGTATGTATACTTGTTTCTAGCATAACCACTATATATAAATACATATAATAGTTTAGCAAAACAACTAGTATATAAGTACAAACAAGTTACAATCCCCGCCCCCTACGCACAGAGGTGGGCAGTAGCGCGCTTCATGTAGCGGCCGCTACATTTTCAGTAGCGGTAGCGGCGCTACATTTAAGCAATTGTAGCGGTAGCGGTAGCACCGGCTACATTTAGAGCATGTAGCGGTAGCGGTAGCGCCCGCTACATTTAGAGCATGTAGCGGTAGAGGTAGCACCGCTACATTTCAAAGTAGCGCTGCCCAGCTCCCCCTATATACGCACTGTATATGTCGACCTCCTGGCCGTAAGCGTTCACGGTGATATATAAAAGTTTAGCAAAACAACTTCTACATATAAATACATATAATAGTTACATTCCCCGCTTTCTACGCACTGTATATGTCGACCTCCTGGCCGTAAGCGTTCACGGTGATGCACTTGACAGCATCAATCCAGATCTCCTTCTGCTCCAAGTCGCACACGGAGAACACGGAGATGTTCTGCTTGCAGTAGATGCCGTCCCAGGGCTCTGACGTGGGACCTCCCAGCAGCCTCGTCGTCAGGAGCTCGTCTCCGGACTGGGAGAAGTTGAACATCCCAGCGACGGGACACTGAACTGGGACCGGATCCTTGGCTGCACTCAAAGAAATAAGTTTTATAATAATAATAATAGTAATAGTAATAATAATGATAATGATAATAATAATAATAATAATCCTCATACCAAATGTTTGATGGGGATTTAGTCACCAGGATTGGGAGGTAAAGCGCACTATAGTATGGAACATAACTGACCCAGCAGGAGGTCATAGCTCCAGTCACGGCCGCTCTTGAACTGGATGTAGGAGCAGACAGTGCTGAACTGCTCGATGATCATCTCCAGGCCTTTGCGGAACCTGATCACGTTGTGGTGTCGCGGGATGAAGTCGAAACACACGAAGTCCGTCTGGCTGTAACATCATTAATGTTGTTACTAGTTATTTTATCGTTATGTTATCGTTATGTTATTATTATGTTATCGTTGTGTTATCGTTAGGTTAGCATTATTTTGTCGTTATGTTATCGTTATTTCTGCCATTGTTATTGTTATAGTGAACAAGGTGGAGGAATATGGAGCTCACGCACCCAGCTCTGCATCCAATAGCTCGTCCCACACAAATGCATTTCAGTCACCAAACTTACAACAAATTTAGCCAATAAGGCACATTTTAACGCTCACAACACACACTCACCATCCATCAATATTGAGCCGAGGCATCATGAAGCGCTTGACCATCACACTCATCACACTCACCATCCATCAATGTTGAGCCGTGCCACCATGAAAAGGCTGGTAATCACAGTCATCCCACTCACCATCCATCAATATTAAGCCGAGCCATCATGAAGCGATTGTCACGTCGCTCCTTGCAGACATAGACGGTCTTCCTGTAGCGGCCGATGTCAGGGTAAGAGATCTCTGTGATGTGTGTCTGGTTGATGATGATGTCGGCCTCCGTGTGCGCCGTGTTGATCCAATGACCGGTGAAGTTTTGTGGCAGCAGACAACTTGGCTGCACGTTGTCGTGTTTCACTGCTCAGTGAACTGTACTTAGCGTCGTGCTTCACTGCTCAGTGAACTGTAAACTTAGTGTCGTGCTTCACTGCTCAGTGAACTATGAACTTAGTGTCGTGCTTCACTGCTCAGTGAACTATGAACTTNCTGTCTCTTATACACATCTTCTCGAGACCCTGTACCTGGCGTCATCCTGAACCTGGCGGGACTGTTCTCGGGCGTGTCTAGCACAGAACACTCGGGCGTGATGGAGGCGCCCATGTAGAGATCATCATCCCTGTTCCTGATGAAGCAGCGGTATTTCTCTTCCTTGCGAGACTCTTTGTTGTTGGCCACCGCGAAGTAGTGGTTCTTGCCGTCCAGCCAGTCGCCCAGGCACGAGAACTCCGTCACTGACAGAATTGTGGTTAGCGTCAAGGTAAGTTAGTGTACAGATGTACTTCTCAATTGTTAATTGTGATTAGCGTCAAGGCAAGATAGTGTACAGATGCACGTCTCAATTGTTAATTATTAGTGTACAGATTATTAATTGTAGTTAGCGTCAAGGCAAGTTAGTGTACAGGTGTACGCCTCAATTGTTAATTGAGATTAGCGTCAAGACAAGTCAGTGTACAGGTGTACTTCTCAATTATTAATTATGATTAGCGTCAAGGCAAGTTAGTGTACAGATGTACGTCTCAATTGTTAATTTAGATTAGCGTCAAGGCAAGGTAGTGTACAGATGCACGTCTCAATTATTAATTGGAGCTACAGGATTGCCCGTATTTTGACTCATTTCATGTTACGCGAGCTAAAATCTAGATTGGACCAACTTGGGCACATGCATAAACTAGGCCTTAATTTGCCGTCTTTTGTTTCACAAGCAAGTGACTCACTGAAAAAAACTTAGCGTGATAGTAAAATTTAGAAAAACTGAACTTATTTTTAACGTCTCTACAATTAGGGTTAAAAGTTAAATTTTACACCCTATCTAGCAGCGAGCTTAAGCCTTGTCATAATGCAAAGACACAACTGTTCCTACACTATGTACGATTATAACGTAGTAAAATTATGCAGTCTGACAAGAATTAAACTTCAGCTATATAACTCCAAATAAATAGATACTGAAACTATTCACTGTTACCAGTGAATACTAATACAAATCTAGTGTCCGGTACACACCTCCCTCGACACTCTCCTTGATGCCCGGACATTTCTTGTACGCGATCGTGAACTTCTGGTTAGCGATGAGGAACTGATTACCGGGCTCCTGACATGACCTGATCACTGCTTCCGGGTGGTTACATTCTCCTGTGAAACTGTGACAACAAACATGTTTATGGGCGTGTGTAGTTAGGGTATTCAACTGTGACAACAAACATATTTATGGGCGTGTGGAGTTAGGGTATTAATAGGGTTTTGGGCCTATTCTTCAATGCCGAAGATACTATACTATACTAACTGTAAAATTGTGACAACAAACATGTTTATGGGCGTGTGAAGTTAGGGTATTCAACTGTGAAACTGTGACAACAAACATGTTTATGGACGAGTGAAGTTTTGGTATTCAACTGTGATAGCAAACATGTTTATGGGCGTGTGAATTTAGGGTATTCAACTGTGATAACAAACATGTTTATGGGCGTGTGGAGTTAGGGTATTCAACTGTGAAACTGTGACAACAAACATGTTTATAGACGTGTGAAGTTAGGGTATTCAACTGTGAAACTGTGACAACAAACATGTCTATGGACGTGTGAAGTTTTGGTATTCAACTGTGATAGCAAACATGTTTATGGGCGTATGAATTTAGGGTATTCAACTGTGATAACAAACATGTTTATGGACGAGTGAAGTTTTGGTATTCAACTGTGATAGCAAACATGTTTATGGGCGTGTGAATTTAAGGTATTCAACTGTGATAACAAACATGTTTATGGGCGTGTGGAGTTAGGATATTCAACTGTGAAACTGTGATAACAAACATGTTTATGGACGTGTGGAGTTTTGGTATTCAGCTGTGATAACAAACATGTTTATGGGCGTGTGAAGTTAGGGTATTCAACTGTGGAACTGTGATAACAAATATGTTTATGGACGTGTGGAGTTTTGGTATTCAACTGTGATAGCAAACATGTTTATGGGCGTGTGGAGTTAGGGTATTCAACAGTGAAACTGCCACAAAAAACATGTTTAGAGGCTATTAAGTTTTGCATTCACTTGTGAATGAGTTCACTCGCCTATGAATTAGTTAACTATGTCAGACACATGGCTGATCCAACCAAGTCCTTAGAATACACAAACTTCGTCATTTTGATCCGTAAACTATGTCACGCGAATGTTTACGTCACTTTTAACCCAGCCTATTTCAGTGCTCAATTCACCTGAATCTGTTCACCGCACATTCACCTGAATCTGTTCACCCCAAATTCACTTGAATGACCGGTGAATTCACCGCACATTCACCTGAATCTGTTCACCCCAAATTCACCTGAATGACCGGTGAATTCACCGCACATTCACCTGAATCTGTTCACCCCAAATTCACCTGAATGACCGGTGAATTCACCGCACATTCACCTGAATCTGTTCACCCCAAATTCACCTGAATGACCGGTGAATTCACCGCACATTCACCTGAATCTGTTCACCCCAAATTCACCTGAATGACCGGTGAATTCACCGCACATTCACCTGAATCTGTTCACCCCAAATTCACCTGAATGACCGGTGAATTCACCGCACATTCACCTGAATCTGTTCACCCCAAATTCACCTGAATGACCGGTGAATTCACCGCACATTCACCTGAATCTGTTCACCCCAAATTCACCTGAATGACCGGTGAATTCACCGCACATTCACCTGAATCTGTTCACCCCAAATTCACCTGAATGACCGGTGAATTCACCGCACATTCACCTGAATCTGTTCACCCCAAATTCACCTGAATGACCGGTGAATTCACCGCACATTCACCTGAATCTGTTCACCCCAAATTCACCTGAATGACCGGTGAATTCACCGCACATTCACCTGAATCTGTTCACCCCAAATTCACCTGAATGACCGGTGAATTCACCGCACATTCACCTGAATCTGTTCACCCCAAATTCACCTGAATGACCGGTGAATTCACCGCACATTCACCTGAATCTGTTCACCCCAAATTCACCTGAATGACCGGNGACAACACCCGTCACACACCCAGCTAATGGAGATAACACCCGTCACACACCCAGCTGATGGAGATAACACACGTCACACACCCAGCTGATGGAGATAACACACGTCACACGCCCAGCTAATAGAGATAACACCCGTCACACCCCCAGCTAATGGAGATAACACCAGTCACACACCCAGCTAATGAAGATAACACATGTCACACACCCAGCTAATGGAGATAACACACGTCACACACCCAGCTAATAGAGATAACACAAATAATTTACGTAGTTACAAATGCAGTGAACTTATTCCATCCAGAGCAACACGCCTCTTATATCGAGGTCTGTTTAGACCCAGACGAGTCTTAGCGTATAGTGAAAGGATCGTCTTCATAACATCTCCCAACATATGGAGATATTATTACTCAACATTAGTAAATAATATAGGTTTCGTAATTTCATTGGCTGTATATATACTGACACTTTAATTTTAATTAATTAAGATTATACTGATAACGATAATTTTGACATCGATAATCCTCATTCATTAAAATAATCCTGAAGCAGTTTTTATTTCAGCAGCGCTGCAAAACATGGTATAGTTAGGATAATGATCACATCTGAAATCTTAATTAATATTATCCTGATAAAGATAAATTTTGACATCGATAATCCTCATTCATTAAGATTATCCTGAAGTAGTTTTTATTCCATTCCATGAGCGCTGCAAGACATGTTTCAGTTAGGTGGTACTTCCAGTTTGTATGTGACGTGAGAATAGTGATTCAAAATATACGTACATATACGTTCTATACATGTATACATAGGAGTATATTAGTGTAGTTGGCAGAAGTTCTTTATTTATGCAGGTTTGATTGAAGACCAGAGCATACTTTTTAAACAATTTTCTTATTGTTTTTTTTTTTCAATAAGCCGGACGAAAAACAATAAGAAAATTGCTAATAAAAGTATGCTCTGGTCTTCAATCAAACCTGCATAGTGGAGCTGTTGGGGCGCGTATCCAGGATACTTATCGTGATTTTGAATAATAAATACTAAATTATTATTCAAATTAATAATTTTGAATATAATTAACTGGATTAGTGATGATTTCAATCATTTCATATTTATAAATCCAGTTGTTATGTAATCATGACAGCGCTCACTTACTGAGAGAACACTTAAGCTTCCCCCACTGCTGTGTGCGACGTACAGTGATACATTATTATTGATATGTAATTCGTTTGCTTGTAATCTGTCCCGGCCTGTGAGACTCGGAGGTATAGTGTAAGTGTATGCAAATATGTACAGTATATGCCCCGGCATTTTATATCGTTAACAATCACAAGTTAATATATACTGAGCATTATAATACGCCTTGCATTACAGAATACGCGGCAACAAGCATTAGGAAGGTGCAAGCTACGATACATAGTTATCGTAAATTAAATAACAACAAATTCAATAAAAGCTTTGTGTATCACACATAAACGCAAAACTTGGATTTACGTTAACCTATTATAAATGTATTAGGAATTTTATTTGAATTCATGTATAAAACATTAAATTGCAATTAATGTTAATTCAAAATTATGAAGACATAACTAGCAATATTAGCTCATTTCATTACACCTCACAACATATGTCATAACGACACGAATTATACCCTGACTAACGCTGTAAGATTTTCCATCATCTCAGATTTGTTTACGGACAGCATGAGATAGTATTAATAATATTAATACTAATTAATATTATTAATAATAATAATATTAATACTAATTAATTATGAAACGTGCAGTATACTAAGATGTCAAATTCCACTAATGAAATATTAATTATAGAAATATAGCAGAGACAATAGTGGTATTTCCAGCGCGTTGGAACAGTCCTTAGCCATGGCGATTATGTCACACCCCAACTACGCTGCCGGAAAAGTATTTGTTGTTCAATGGTAAAAGTAAGAATATTGCAAGTCATTTTCCGGTCAATTAGCTTAAACTTATTAAGTTTAAGAGAAATCGTAAACGATTCCGTTTATGTAACTACATCAAGTGATCAAAAAAGTTGGAACTTGGAAGACTCGCATCAACAACAAGAGTCCAACGGAATACATCAACGCTCCAGCCGAGGACATTGGGTAATTGTGACTAAGAATTATGCCAAAAAGTTGTATTTAGTATATAAAAATCGAAAAATTGTTCTTACCTGGTATACATAATAGAAGGATGCCTAAGTGGACGACTAAAAATAGGTTTAAAAGAACTGAAGAGGCCATGATGTCAATAAAAACAAGCAAACAGAGCACCTGCGCTAATCACTCGTCATGGCTGAGAGGTGACTAACGTTCAAGATGTTGGTATGGTCGGCGAATGGTGACTTGAACGAACGCTACCTGTTGAGCTCGATCGATTTCATGCGCTCATATATACATTATATTTTCGAGATCAATGTGTAATTTTCATGTAATTATGATAATGCAAGAAATAAGATTCATTAATTGCGTAAATATCATACAGGAACTGACATTCGATTCAAATGAGGATTTTTGAGCTGGTGCATCTGGCAGACACGTTAGATTCCAGACGCCGCCAGACAGGTGGGCGCAGACTACACAGTACGAGCACCTGTCCGTTACCAAGACAACGGGAACATCGACGCGCTCTGCAACGTCGAGTCTGTAATTCAAAATTGGGATTTCGCTAAAATCGAACGTACCATTTCAACCCCGGGGATCTTACCTTTAATTAATATGATAAATTGTCTAAAATTCTTTATGAATCGTGTTAACTTTGTATTGTATACATTTTAAAATAATTTTCATCAATTACTACGTTTTCGTGACTTATTGAAATAATTACATATCAAACATATAAATATATTATTATATTATTAAAATTTTATTATCTGACTGATTATATTTGTGGCGAATCGATTAAGTAGGAAACTATACATAAATTCGAAATAGTACATTAGTTATCAATAGAGATTGCCATTTGTTAAATACATTGAATAAACTAGTAGAAACCAGCCTCATTCATTATTAGAATTAACAAATAAGGCGTAATTATGCGAGAGATATTGAACATTCAGATAATAGTCAAAATTTTAACATTAGTTCACAATTACACCAGCGCTTAGCGTAAGATCGAGTACAGTTATGAATCCAAATTCAGGCATCACGCTTTGTTTAACAACGAGATAATGGAGTGGCGTATCATTTTCCACTAATTATTATGTTAATAATTTATGTATTTGTCATTAATCTGCAACAAAAGCTGTAGCCCAAGCTATGGCCCACGCACTTTCGTCGAATTGGTTAACAGAACGCAAACTGCGGCGGTCGTTGCGGTGTACCGAACTGTCCGCGCGGCGTCCGCGTGCGCCGTGCATCCCCCCGTCCCGTCAGTCGAGGCTGAGGCCTGTTGCAAGGTGGTTATGGTACGTGCTCAGTGGAACTACAAATGTCAATGGGTTCCCATGATGGTGACTTGATAATGATGTAGTAACAAGACACGCCTCATCTATGGTATGAATATAATTTTCTATTGAAGTTCATGGTCTCAGTGACGTGAGTTATTTAATATCTTAGCATCTCTTCCGGAGACCGGTGTGCATCCTTTTTGAAGTAAAAAAATAGCCTAGTTCTGACCAGGCCTAAGCGTCCTATAAACGCTTCAAATTGTGAATCAATAAACTCCTTATTCTGTAATCGATTTACACTAACACTAGAGTTAATACCCAAGACAATTTCTGGAAGTGAACGTATTTCGGCTTTACTTCGCGGTGAACATGATCATAATGACATTGATCCTTCTGTTGAGGGTCGCGATAGAAAGACCTGGGTCTCCACTTGCTGTCTCCACCTTCTGTTGAGGGCCGCGATAGAAAGACCTGGGTCTCCACTCGCTGTCTCCACCTTCGGTTGAAAGCCACGACAGATAGATAGTCCACTTGCTGTCTCCACTTCCTGTTGAATTAAGGACCATTTTGTTATTACAGTGAATCTACAGGTAAATAATCAAGTGCCTCTAACTGCCCACAAGTTCAGTGAATATAAGTAAGCAGGTGCACAGATCGAACGGATCGTAATTTGCTCTCATGCCAACGAATGTTTTCGACATCTCTACTCAAAAAAATTGTTACATATTGCGAAAACTGCAATCGCGTCTTTTCTGTAGCAGAATTATCTAATTAATTATCAACATGGGAAGAACAATTTAAATGGTGAGGGAAACATTAAAAAGCTGCCCTTGATAAACCAGCTAGCGGTGAGCATCTTGCGTGTTGTCTATGCATGACATTGATTCCTCTTGTTAACATTTCATGTTGACATGCTCCAGCATTATTCTACATTAAAAATTTGACAGCAACCAATAACAAAAAAATATAACTCAGTACCCACTGCAGTGAGTGACAGAGAGCGCATTTTCTCGTCGACGAAAACTTGAGGTCACGGACGGACAGTCGGACGGACGGATAGACTTGCAGACCGACAGACAGACGGACATGGCGAGCACAATAGTGCATTTTTTCTATAAATGAGAAAATGCGCTAAAAACCGCGGTGTTAAAGATATTACATTAGGTTTATGTGTCCGAGTATACATTAGGTTTATGTGTCGGAGTATAATCAATTAATCATGGAGCTTCCAAACAGTAAAGTTCGAAAGCATGCGATGGCGTCGCAGCATCTGCTCCCCGATTTGTACGACAGTTAACGGCTTGAGCTTCGGAACGAAATCCTTAAAACCTAATACTTACTCTTGACTGTTGTACTTGATTGGTTAATAACTGTGTTGTTAAGTTCTTAGAGTTGTTCAATTTTAACTTTGGTTATTTCTTAATTTTTTAAGTTAATCAATTACTAACTGAATTCAGTTTTGCATATTATTCAGTATTGCAATTCATTAAGACATTCTCGGGCCAAGAGGTTCACCGATGTACGATATGCATAATTTTATCAAGAAAGTAAAGGAAATTCACTCAATATTACAAATACCGTATTAAAATGTAAGAACTTTTAGAGCATCATTCCTTTCGACGCTTACTTCCGTACTTAAGTACTTACTTACGTACTTGAATTTTGCATAAAGTAACTGATGGGAATTTTAGCGGTGATGGACAGCACAGCTACACAACATATGGATGCCATGAGCATATCCTTTTTCTTGCAAAGTAAACGCGGTGTTTTGCTTCAGAGCTCACGGCAATATTATCTTGCAGTCACGCATGGCAGAATGCGTGGATGCATGAAGCGAGTGCGGGGCTGCGTGAAGCGAGTGCGTGGCTGCGTGAAGCGAATGCGCGACTGCGTGAAGCGAGTGCGCGTATCTCTACTAATGCGTTGCTACGCATGACGTCTCTGCAAGCGTCATCTGCGTAAGGACATTCTGTCTGTGCAACTCTTCGTAAATATACACGAATAAATAACTAGTCTAAGGAGGATTCTTTAACTGTTAAACTTCGATCAATGACAACACAGTTAGTCAGTACAACTAATGGACTAATATCTGTTATTTACTAATATAATTATTTATTCATGTCGTAATCTTATGAGTATTGTTATCCTGAGAAAAAAATGTGTTAATAAAATGCATTTATTAGATCAAGATATTTTTAGCGAGAGTGCATGGTCCGTCATATGTTTCATGACGGCCCATGAAACAACAAAGAATTTTGAGAGTACATAATGAAATCCGCTTGAGTTGAGGTGTTTTGAAAGTTAATATCAACTTCAGTCATATATATAGTCACTCTTTCCACATCCTTCAACTCCGTTCAAAACAATCATTTTGTTTAACTTCGCATAATAATATATTAGCTGTAAACTTTGGGGGTCTTAACAACCTAACGATGAGCGGAGCTGCCGTTTTCGAATGCTTGTTAGAGAATATTGAATACTTCACCAAGTTTCTTTTCAGATTATATCCAGATTGAAGCGAATATACTCCAGAAGGCAGCACAGCCGTTAGTTAATGTGGCTTTTGCTATGGGCCTATTGATGATGACCGCGCATGATTTTTTCATAATGATTTAAGCTTCGGCGTAAGGAATTGCTTTATTTGTATATTCTCCCGTTCAATTTGTGCTATAATTGGGCATCTAAATTATGAGGCAAAAATAAGTAGCGTAGTTCCGGATTCTAGTGTAACACTAGCGAAACATTAATCCAATTCGTTACATCCGGGACCCGAGGGCGGGGTGACCTGCCTATTCTAGACGGAGGACGACGAAGGCGGCGCATCAGCGTGACCGGGGACTATATATAGGAAGTCCCGAACTCATCATAAGGTCATAAGGTTAACTTGTGGACAAAGTTGTGAACCGCGTGAAGTTTGAACACGATTAACGTACATGTACGTCACCTACATGGTTCGCTGTGTATTAAAACTAAACCGACGATTACAAGCGGAAAATAGCGAAAAAATAAACGGAAAATGGAGGAGCTATACATCAAATTAGGAGTAAAAATTCTTGATGGTTCTTAGATTGAAGCGTTATTTAACTATGCATACAGTCTACGAGGAGAAGATAAATGGATGACGAGTGTATGGATTATCTTTCTGATTTGTTAAACCCCGGCGTCACTTCCATGGTTTTACGGTCATGTAGTAGTTTATTTGGAAACAAGATTTAGTAAAAAACGGATCTACACTTTTTTCTTTTAGATAATCTTAGTGAAACAACATGAGATTAACTAAAGTACTGCAGACATTGCTATACGCCGCACACAATCGAGGAGTTTTGGCTGAGACTCAACATTTATGCTCTCCATTGTCTTTGATTTGATCTCAATTGTAGAGCTGAGCGTTCAAGGCCTCACGTATGTCTGGCATGCAATCCGTAGGCTTGACCTCTCATTATTATTGTCGTACCATCATTAATTATTGTCGTACCATTGTTGCTCGTTCTATGCAACTTGAAACATTTTATGGTCAGTAATAATTAGTTACATTGGCTCGTAATCAATTAGTTCCCAGAGGGAAAAATCTTTTTCCTAAATATTTAAGTAATGTTGATAGCTTGCACCTACTCAGTGTGCGTTCGCCACTCGTTTCAATTTAAGAAATAAATATTACAAGAAATATATTACAAGATCTCGCTAGCGAAAAACTTATTCACTGCGAGCTCGCATAAGAAGCACCAATATGGATTCTTTTGTTCTGAAGGCAGCCTCCAGGTTATTTTTTCTCTCCCAGGTATACAGAGACCCTACGATACGTTGTTATCCATATTCAAGTGTACTACCTTTTGTACTTGCCAAGTATAATGAAAAGTATCCAATTAAGTTAATTTAAACTCCAGACACTATCTTCACAGAATCATTTTACAACCCTCACCATCAGGCACAAGTTACGCTGTCCAAACTGAGTTCCCGGAAATACTGCAAGGTGATTGGTTCTCGTGGGAGGATGGGCGAGGGCACCGCATCACCATCGACCAATCAGAGTACGAGGGCTGGGGCGCCCCCGTGGCGGGGCGCTCACTGGGCGCCGGGGCGCTGGACTTTGTCTTCGATGTGGGCGCCTGTCGCTTCTGCTCCAGGTTCATGGTCCGCTCCTGGAATGTCGTCGAGAGGTTCGACGGTTAGTGTAATATTATTTTGTTCGTTATTTTATGCGTGCTAAAGAATCATGTTCAACTGCTCTTAAGCCGCGTGAATTACCACTGTACTTATGGCGTCCCCTTCCAATGCAAGTCATTAACAGAATTCAATATGAACCTTACAGTGACCTTGAATATATTTGGTATTTTTTGTACTTTTTTTCAAGCAAATAAAAAATATATTCTTGACCATCGTAACATCAATTGATCGAAGGGAGGCGGGTAAGGGTAAAGGCAATTTATAATTCATTATAAGTGGAGTACGTAAAGCAATCAGATTACTTCGCAATCAGATCCCCGATGTTCAGTTATCCTTGCGGTTGTCCAGTGGCTTTAAAGTCTAGCCAGCGTGGACACCCGGAAAAGAAAAAGAAGATGTTTGGTTGTTGAAGTTGTCTGATGAATTTGTTACCATTTAGTTGCTATGTTTGTGTGTTGCGTTCATACATGTATAACAACCAAACTATACGCCCTCAAAGCAGTTGTATTTCAGGCAGAAGAAGGTTCCCGCAACTAGTGTCTAGTCGTAATTTTTGACAGGTTTGGATGGCTACCCTATAATTTTAAACATATATTCATTCAGTTACATTGAACAATGATTTTGGCACTGGAATGTGTATCAAATTCTCATGCGAGTGTCGTTAGAGATCTATCGTTAGACGCAGGGGGTGACGGTGACTTAATTAATTTTGTACCTTGCAGGCCCTTGCGATTTCAGGCCCGGTAAGCCACCAGTTCGCCGGCCACGTAATCCAGCCAGACCGCAGCCAGACTGGCTTACCTCATCCACACCAGCGGATGCCGCACGCAGCCACAACGCAAGCCACAATTATAGCCTCCAGCGAGAAGGTTCTCTTGCTGATATCCTGGAGCCACAAGAATCAGTCAACGGAAGTGAGCTGGTCATCAGCGAGAAGAAATCAGTCAGTCAAGGCAAGGACTTACCGAGTGAACACAAAGGATTGTTTGCAGTGCCGATGATCCAGAAGACTAGTAAATATAAGACTGGAATATCGGTCAATAAAATGGACCAACTTCAGAGCAAGCTGATCGAAATTGAGATCATACAAACAGTGAACATTGAAAAACTTTGTGCGCCTTTGGACTCCGTTTTTCAAGGAGGTCGACCTCGTTCGAAGGACTTTGCTGGAAGTTCTGTTAATGACATGCAACATTCGAGCAAAACCTTCGACGTTAAAGCTCCAAACTTTAAAAATTTTAATGCTTCCGGTAAGGACTCGAGAAGTTCATTTGTTCACCCTCATGAACATCATACCTTCACCCACCATCAAAGCGTAGGCGCAAATCACGAGTCACACGCCACGAACTCTCATTCCAGCCTTGATTATTTTTCTCCGACAAAGAATTTTAATTTGTCGCGCGTCGAGACGAATTCGGCTGGAAATTTTGACCTTTCCGTTGGTCAGGTTAAGGGGAACACCCCTAAGAACGTAGGGGGCAGCGCCCCTGGGGATTTAGGGGACGGTGCCCCTAGGGATTTAGGGGGCGGCACCCCTGGGCATGGAGGGGACGGTGCCCCTGGGCATGGAGGGCATGGTGCCCCTGGGGACGGAGGGGGCGGCGCCCCTGCTGGAGTTGTACTGCACCGCCGCGCCCCTACACCGGTGGAGTGCCTGTCGTTCCTGAGGGGGCGCTACGCCCTGGCCTGGCGAGACGCTCACAGGTGAACGCCTCAGTTGGCAATAGTGACACTTTAGAGGCTTGTGTAATATAGGAGGCTACATTTTGTGAAATACGATATATGTTGTAATAATGTAATATGTTGTGCGGTGTAATAGGTTGTGCGGTGCAATATGTTGTGCGTTGTAATATATTAAGCACTTTAATACGTTCTATGATGTATCAGCCTGCCCATCATGATGCCTCATGTGATGCTATAACGTTCACCATTACCCGTCCATGCGCAGTTCGTCTGCGTGGTGTTTGTTGTGCGGTGTAATATGTTGTGCGGTGTAACATGTTGTGCGGTGTAATATGTTGTGCGGTGTAATATGTTGTGCGGTGTAATATGTTGCGCGTTGTAAGATATTAAGCACTTTCATACGTTCTATGATGTATCACCCAGCCCATCATGATGCCTCATGTGATGCTATAACGTTCACCATTACCCGTCCATGCGCAGTTCGTCTGCGTGGTGTACGCACCCACAGGCGACGCTGTCCTCGTGTCAGCTGACAGGCGAGCGGTTCACAGCTGACATTCAGCACATGACAGTCGTGTACCGCAGCTGTCCTGGCGTCAGACAGTCGTACGACTCAGGTATACATCACTATGGAGGAATAGTGAGTCATAGTGCTAGCCACTTGATAGTACAGCAGGTATGTGCTTACATCACTATTGAGGAATAATGAGTAATAGTGAATAGTGATAGTCACTTGATAGTGCGGCAGGTATATGCTTACATCACTATTGAGGAATAGTGAGTAATAGTGATAGTCACTTGATAGTACGGCAGGTATGATGTCCTTACATCACTATTGAGGAATAGTGAGTAATAGTTATAATCACTTGATAGTACAGCAGGTATATGCTTGCATCACTATTGAGGAATAGTGAGTAATAGTTATAGCCCCTTGATAGTACAGCAGATATGTCCTTACATCACTATTGAGGAATAGTGAGTAATAGTTATAGCCACTTGATAGTACAGCAGATATGTCCTTACATCACTATTGAGGAATAGTGAGTAATAGTTATAGCCACTTGATAGTACAGCAGATATGTACTTACATCACTATTGAGGAATAGTGAGTAATAGTTATAGCCACTTGATAGTACAGCAGATATGTACTTACATCACTATTGAGGAATAGTGAGTAATAGTTATAGCCACTTGATAGT